TCAAATAAGTATTAGCTGTTATTTTAAAGTTATCATTATCACTACATGTGTTTAAGAGAAGTGGGAGGAAAAAAAAGACAACATGAGGTTTTTTTTTAATAGAAAAGGCTTTTTCTTTCATTCTCTCGTTTCCCTTTTTGCTTTCCTGTCTGGATGCTGGAGAGAGGATCGGTCCTGGGGCAGGAGCTAGGCTCCCTCTCTGCGCTGAGCACTGGTCAGGCTTGCACTGTGGGCTCTCCTTTCTGGGAAGCTGTGTTGTGGGGGATCCATTAGGCACTCATGCCTGCTCTGCTTCATGCAGCCTCTTCTTCCCATGACCAGATCTAAAGCTGCGTTCTTGCCCCTCTGGCTGTGGTTTGAGCCCAGCCATGGGTGCTCTTCAGGGCTCCCCATCTCTCAGCATCAGCTTGAAGCTACCTTCTTCAGGATGACACCAGGGACCTCTTCTCCCTCAAGGTCATTTGGGAGTGGGGCCAGGGAGGGGCGGGCCCCAGCCTTTGGCTCTGTGGGCATCTCCACCCACAGACCCCGCCCCAAGAAAGGGAGTTCAAAGCAAGGATGTTCTCCGCTTGCCTGTGGTGTTCCCTCACCCACTCCCCAGGAGAGGGGCAGGAGTGGAGGAGAAGAGGAAGGTTGGGGGACAGGGGAAGACCAGAACTTCCGGGTTAGCCTGCTTGGGTTTGAATCCTACCTGGGTTTTAACTCCATCACTGTGTGACCTTGTGACTGAGTTTTCTCACCTGTAAAATGGGGATGAAAAGAATTGTTTCAATTTATGGGCTTGTCTAACCTACGTGGGATGATGCATATAAGGTAGTTAGAACAGTGTCCAGTATGTCACAACTTTAAATAAATGTAAGTCACTGATACTTCTAGAGGAACAGAACTGAAAGAGCCCTCGGAAGTCACCTGGTCCCATCCTAGAGAGGGTCAGGGTTTTTTCCCTTTGTCACACAGCAATCAGAATATGTGATTTTAATCCTGAGGCTGGGGCTGGAGAGGTAGGAACTCAGAGCTCTGGTGAGTGGCAGGAATAATACCAGGAGTAGCACCAGCGGGGAACAGAGTGGCTAAGGGCATTGACTGTGGAATCAGGGACTGGCTTTGAACTTCTACCCTGCTTTGACCAGCTGTGTGCCCTTGGCCAAGTCCCTTTACCTCCCTGAATCTCTTTTTCTTTAACTCTTCAATAGTGTTACTCATACCCACAAGGCCATTTATGCATTTGCTAAAATTTACCTATTTGTCACTTACTGTGTGCCAGGTGAAGGCTAGGGGCTAGAAATCAGTAAGACAGACAAGGCCCTGCCCTCCTGGAGCTTATCTATTTGGACAGAGATGTACAATAAAAGAAAGAGCCCATACAATGATTTGAAGCAGGGCTCTGAGGAGCATGGAGCTGGGTAGGGTGGTGTGACATTGGAGAGCATGGCCAATGAAGACCTCTCTGAGGTGACATTTGGATGGCAACATAGAAGATGAGAAGCCAGTGTGGGAAGCTCTGGGCAAGGCAATCTCCAGGCAGAGGTAACAGCAAGTGCAGAGGCCCTGAGGCAGGATGTGCTTGGTGTTTTGGGAGGAAGGGCAAGGAGCTTGTCGGCAAGAGGGCTGCAAGGGTGGGAGGTGGGGATGGCCAGTGGGGGCAGATCTTGTACCCCTGTGGGTCCCTGTAAAGGGCTAGATTTTAAGGGGGTTGGAGATCCTAGGAGGCTTTTTAACAAGGAAGAGACTTAACTAATTTTATTTTTAAAGGATCTCCCTGGCTAGCAAGGGAGGTGGCGAGGGAGGAGGTAGTTGGGCTGTGCAGCCTGGAAGGTGAGGTCTGATGAGGAGGGGAGCGAGATCGTGTCCCCATCTCCTCCCGCTCGGCCTGATACAGGCCTCTGGGAGGGAACTGAGCCAGATGGGGCTGCGAGCTCTTGAGAACTGCCTCTTGCAGGCTTAGGTCATGAGAGAGGGGACCGTGGTGCTGGGGACCAGGCAGGTTCCAGGGCAAACCTGGCCTGAGTGGGTGGGGTCTCCATCTCCCTCTCTCTCCATTAGTCTCTCTCTTTCTCACTCTGAGAACTGCTGCTGCTATTACTCCCCAAAGACTTTACATAATTCTGGCCTGACTCCCTCCTCATTATGTCATGTGCTGAGTGGAGTCTAGGTCACTCTATGGCTTACTGCGGTCAGGGAGAGCAGACGGCTGGCTCCCCTGGTGTGGTGGTGGCTAGAGTAGACCCTCTCCACTGGAGTGAGGGTGGCTGGGCTTGTGGGGGTGGAGGTGCAGCCCAGCCCCAGGCCCAGGCCCAGGCCCTTTGGATGGCTCAGGCAAAAGCCAGGGCTTCCTGTGGTGGGCTGGGGCTGGTAAGTAGTGCTAGGTGTGCTTTGAGCCATGTGCCTTGGAGCCCAGGCCCCACCAGAAGGAGGCAGGCAGACCTGATGTCAGCCATTCCTGCTGGGTTGCTTCTCTGAACCTTAGTTTCTTATACTGCAAAATGGCGACAGAGGCATCCAGTGCTCATGGGGATGTGTGACTTTAGTAGGCTCACACTGGAGGCTGAGTGTGCATATGGTAGGAGATGTTCTGAGGACAGAGGCCCATGCACATTCTGGGAGAGGGGCAGACACAGCAGTCTCTCCCTCAGACTCACTTGGGCTTGCCTGGGCCCCAGCACTGTGGTCTTCACCCCTTCCTATGGCCTCCCCATCCCTACCCCTCTCCTAGACCCTGCCCCCAATCCCAGGGAGAACCCAAATAGGGTGGAGGCCCCCCTCCCTTGCACAGGTAAGGAAACTGAGGCCTAGAAGAGGGTATGACTTTTTCAAGGTCACACAGCCCAGAATGGCCATGCCGAAAATGGAATCAGACCCCATAAATTCCAGCCCAAGAAGACATTTTCCAATATACTTCAGAGTGTAGGATGCCAGCAGCCCTGGAGAATGCTGAAGAAGCTCATGTCAGAGGGCATGCCTTGGGGAGGCAAGTTCTGCTCCACCTCTGCCCTTTTACACACATCTGTCTTTTTTCCACTGTGTGGTTTTTTTCCTTTTGGGAAAACAGTTTTGTTTTGCTGTTAGTAGGGAACTTAAACAACAGTTACTGAGTTACTTCTACTCAGCTTCTGAGAACAGGGAGGTTGGCCCTTTCCAGCATTATTCCGTGGAATGCTCACAATAACTATTGGATGATTATCCCCATTTCACAGGTGAGAAAACTGAGGCCCAGGGTCATACAGTTGGCAAGTGGGGCCAGGGTTTCATACCCAGTTCTATGCATTCCAAAGCTCTCACCTTCCCCTTTCACATGCTACCTTCTTCAGAAGCTTCTGGGATTGGAGATCCTCTTGACCCCCCCACAACTCCCATTCCATGTGGGGTCTGAGCTTTTTGGGGAGATGTGGAAAGCAAATCCCTGAACTGTTGTGCCATTTGCCCTGGGCTCCCAGGGAGAGTTATCGGGAGTTGGAGAAGGGGAGCAGGGAGATTAAGGGCTTGTAAGGACCATCTCAGCTTAGTATTGGTTAATGTTCTTGACTCAGTGTTTACTAGGGGTGGGGGAAGGTGTAGAGAAGAATGTGCCCCCACCCTGTTTCTAGAATTACTAAATTCTTGTTAGATCTTTAAATTTTATGTAAATTCTTCTTATTTTCCTTGGAAAGGTGGGGTATCATATTTTAATTAGTAGCGGTGTCAAAGGAGGGCTAGATTAATGATTGGAAATCCTGAGTTCCAGATGGTTTTAATTTTCACAGCAGGGCACCAGGGCATATATTTTTAAATTTTTTTATTGAAATCATACCTGGTGTATTTTAGGGGCTCTGAGGTACACTCTTTGTGGCTCCAAGGATACTGTATTTAGGGCTATGATTTTTGTTATGGAAAAGCAAATCCCTTGTCAATGAAATTAAAATTTTGTGGGGGAGGGAGGGGCAGGTGCTGGGAAGCAAAGGGTCAGGGTTGGGAGGGTGAGACTGGGAGGCAAAGAAGGCAGCAGGGGTAGGGAACCAGGCACAGGGATTCAAGACTAGAGAGGAGAGAGCTCAGAGAGGGTGCATGGCTTACCAAAGTCACAAAGCACCCTACTAGGGAGAAAATGTGGGCTGGCCAAGGGACATGGAGGGAATCTGGACAAAGCATGCCTAATAGAGGGACAGTCACCCTTTGACCTTTTGATGTCCTTGTTCAGTTAGGACTTTGGGGGATCAGCTCTTTACACCCCTATCCTAAGGGAGGCTCTATGGAGCATGGATGGTTTGGTGTGGGATCTCCTATCCAGGACCAGGGAATATTGGGTCCTGGTTGGGAATTGTTACCCTACGGCCTTGGTGGCCTTGATGGCCTTGATGGAGGAAAGTGGAATATCCTGAAGATACCTGCCCTTCCAGGGGTCTGGAACCTCCCTCCTGTCCCAGGCCTTCCTCACTTCAAATGGCAAAGGTGTGGAGCCAAGAGGGAACCCTAACAGGGGTTCCAGTTGCTTGCCCTGGAGGAAGGGGCCTCTCACCTAAATTTTGAAGTAAGTAGCTTGACTTCCCCCAAGGCAGGGTGTGTACTCGTGGGCACACATGCAAGAGTGTGCGTGCTCTTCCAGACTCGAGTGTGTCTGTCTGTCCCCTTATTCCAGAGACTGCTCCTACTTTGGGGGCTCTTTGTGTGGCTGTGTGTCCTGTTAGGGGAATGGAATTAAGGGGCTGGGGGAGGTGGGTGAAGACAGGAGGAGAGGGGCACAGTGGTATTTAACCACAAGGGGCAGAATGCTCCTCTAGCTGAGTAATCTAGGACCCAGGTGGAGCCAGGAGAGGCTGGGGGCTGTGGGGGACAGGTGATGCACAGCTTCTCTCCCTGCCTAAGGGCAGTGTGCTCCAATGGGACTTGTCAGAGGCCTCTCCCGTGCCTGGTTTGCAGGCACTGGGGGTCCAGGGACAGGGTCAGGGATCATGTCACTGAGCCTTTAGGGCAAGCCATTGCCCCTGGTAAAAAAATGTGTCTTGTTCTCCTTCTGCCTTTCGAAGCCCAGCTCCTAGTGGAGACAGACACCTTCGGTAGTCAAGTCCGGATCAAGGGCAAGGAGACGGAATTCTACCTGTGTATGAACCGGAAAGGCAAACTCGTGGGGAAGGTGAGTGCTAGTCTGGAATTCCCAGGGAGCTTGGTTGGGTCCCCCTGGCAGACCTGGTAGCTGGAACAGTGTCACAGGGCCTTGTCAGCCACAAATGGAAAATAAGCCTGGTGAGTCTGTGTGTGTGTATATGTGTGTGTGTGTGTGAGAGAGAGAGAGAGAGAGAGAGAGATTCCTATGGTAATCTCTTCCTTTTGCCCCCTTCTCCATTCCTGTACCTGCAGCCTTGCCAAGCTGAGGTGTCCAAGGTGGTGGCTTTAGGAAACACACAGGTCCCTGACCTCCTGGCGGCTGTGCAACTCTGGCTCACTTGGGTGTGGGAGTGCCCTCAAGGGCCCCTGGCACTTCCTGCCTGTGTGTACCTGACAGGGGGACAGAGAACCGCAAGCCAAGGGCTGGGGCTATAGCATTGTTTTGATAATCACCAGGGGTTCCGGCACCACACAGCAGTGCCTCTGGAACCCACTGCCTTGTCAGCGCTCGGCCTCCTGGTTCTATCATTTCAGGAACATTTTGTCACTTTGGAACAGGCAAGAGAGCTGCATGTAACAAATCAGGCAGGGGTGAGGGTCTGGGGTGAGTGCACCCACATGTCAGGAGCTTTGAGCCTTCACCCATGTTGCTTCTTGGTGCCCCACTTTTTCCTGGGTGTGCTTGTTGGTGAAGTTCACACACTTCCTTTGGGAATTCCAGCGGAAGGTTCTATGCTAGAGTCATGCTCTGTGTTCTCTTTTTCTGGAGTCTACTCACCTACATATCCAACTTGTATAATGGTCGGGAGCTTCTGCTGAACAGGAGGAGTCAGGGGTGGAAGGTAGACCCAGATTCCAAGGAGGATGGTTTTTCCTGCTTGGGGGCAAGACCCTGGCTGAATAGTTGCATTTATTACCCGTTCCTGGAGGGAGGATGCATGACTTCAATTCCTGTTTAAGCCATGGGTTTGATTTCCTGAATCCCCCAATTCTTATCCCTCTTCCCCTCTCCCATACCTGAGTGTCTGGAGAGAGTGTAACAGGCCATTGACCTGAGCCAGAAAACTAGCTTATTATTTGCTAATAATAATGGCACCAGTAGCCTTAGATGATTGAGCACCTACTTTCTGTCAGGCACTGAGCAAAAACGCTCCTGAATAATTCCATGAGTTTGATACCACTACCATCCATCCCCATTACACAGATGAGAAAGCTGAGGCTTGGCCAGGTCCTGGGCACTTGTCCCGGGTCCTACACAAGAGCTAGGCAGGATTCAAAGCCCACCTGAAAGCAAAGATTCCAGATGCATCGCCCACACTAAGTGACTCTTCTCTAGCAAAATACTAGTAATCTGCATAGTGTGACTTGAGGAGTGGCTTTAATTAGTGATTCACTTTCTGTGTCCCGAGGCCGGCCGGCGAGGGGGTCTGGGGCAGGGGCGGCGGGCGGGCCGAGCGCCCGGTCCCCTGGCCTGGCCGTGCGTTTCCTGTGGCGGCGTGGCCCAGCCCCGCGTCAGGCGCTTTGTTCTCCTGCCCGCCTGGGCCGCCTCCCAGGCCCAACCTGCTTGCAGTTGGAGGCTCGGCTTGCTCTTTTTTTTCTGTTTAAGGGGGTGGGGAGCAGCCCGCCATGCACAGTGCCCGCGCGCCCCTCCCTCCCCGTCTGCGCGGTTCCCGGCATTTTGACCCCAGGAGAGCCGTCCCCGGGGTTAAAAGAGCAGCCCCGTCCCCTCGGGCCGCTCCCTGCCGCCGGCCTACCCCCACCCTCCCGCCGGCTGGCCGCTGAGTCACCGCTTCCACAGGAGCCGGCTCCGATTTCCTGCCCCCTCACCCTCTCTCCCGTCATTAGTACTGGGGAGGATTCAGCTGGCGTGCACCCCCAGGCCTGGAGCAGCCCAGGGAGCCCCGCCCCCTTGCTGAGGCTCCCTCATCCCGTTCCAGGCTCCTGTCTTTAGGGCTGTCTCCAAAGGTGCCCCCCAAATCCACCTGTCCCAACCGCGCCCTGCCAGGTCCCCCTTTCTGCCTGTCTTGTGCAGCTTCCCTCACCCTCTGGCTCCGCAGCGAGAAGCCATAGGCCGTTGGTTTGCTCTTCTGCCACTGCCTCCCAGGCCAGGCGGGCCCAGGTGCTGGGGTTATCCTCCTTTCCTCGTTGCTTCCACTTCATACCTTAACAGGAATAGTTGCCTCGGCTGCCTCAGGGCTCCCAGCCTCAGGCTGCACTTCCAGACCCTTCCCCACTGCCCATCCTCAGCTTTCCAGACTGTAAAAGGAATCAGGTATCCCCAAACCTCCACCCCAGCCAAGCTCAAAACTGTCCTTGGGTCCTCACCACCTACTGGAGAAAGGCCACACTCCTTGGGGGGACACTTAAAGGCCCTCGGGAGCTTTGTTGGCCTCATGGCCCTGCCTCATGTTTCTTATGCCACAGACCACCACTTCCTGGCCTTGTACATACTGTCACCTCTGCCGGACCAGCCCTTCCCTCTGGCCATCTTCCCCGAGGCTTAATTAACCTGCAACAGCCTCTAACTTCCCTGAGCCCTCATCATCAGGCTCCCTCACACAGCTCTCTGGGGCCCCTCTGCTGACCTGCTTTGTCACTGCATCCCCCAAGTGGACAGGGAGCTCACTGAGGGCCAAATCCGGGTCCATCCATGCATGCTGTGTGTACCTGGCCACAGGGCTTCAGGGGTTCCAGAGAAATAAAAATGTGGTTCTTGCTTTTTGAGGATTGACTTAACCTCCAGCCAGAGTTATCCACAGCAGGCCAGGGAGTCAGAGTGCCCTGACCTCCCCGAGCCTCAACATCCTTATCTGTAAAATGGGAATAATAATGCTGGCCCTTGTTAGGCACTTGTTAAATGTTCCCTTTCCCTTTGAAGCTGGGCCACAAAGTCACTCCTTCATCTGTGGGAACCCCTAGCCTCCACTTGAGCTCTGGTTCCTTTGAAGTGGCTCAACAGGAGGACATTCTTGGGTGGCTTTGACCTTGAATGCCAACCTTGCATTTCTCTGGTGAAAGCAGGGCACATGTACTGAGCTCCCAACAGAGCCCTTTCACATGCTCCAAGCCCTTGGCTGTAGCTATTCTGTCTGCTTCATTGTGCCAGTCATATCCCAAAGCTTTGCCTCTGAGCCCCTGCATGTCCCTTCTTCTTGCCACTTCTCTGGATCTCATATCTATCTGGCCCAGGAGACTGTACTTCCTTTCATTCCATGAATAGTTGTTGAGTGTTGGGCACTAGGTGCTAGGCATTTTTTCAACCCAGATTGATTTTTTTCTCATCTGCTCCTGTCTGTATGATCACTGATGTATCCTCTTTGGGACAAAACAGGGCCCCAGATCTTTCAGAGTAGGGGGATACCCTCCTACTATCATATCTTTGTAAAGACTGCTTTGGGTGTGACTAAACCCACTCAAATGCTTTAAGCCAAAAAAGAAGTTTTTGGTTTATATAACTAAAAATGTCCTGGGTGGGGTAGTCCTAGTTTCAAGTATGATGGGATCTAGGGGCCAAATGATGTCATCAGGATTCAGTCTTCAGATGAAATAGAAGGAATAGGACTCCAGTTTGGAGAGGAGGTTGAAGTTGGTATGGGGGGAGAGATGATCAAATTCTACAAAATCACCAAGGATCTGGGAGGGGATATTCACATACTCCCTAAATATTAAAGGATCTGCCTTGCCTGAACCAATTAAGGCAGTGTTTCTGGGGGTGAGGCCCAAGCACAGATTTTTAAAAATCTCTGCAGCGTCATAGAAGTAGTCAGGAGTAGAGGCTAGGGTCAAGTCCAGGTGGGGCCTGCCATTAGCTTCTTATTTGCTGTGTCTGAATTCATAGTGGGGAACTTGTGACCCTCAGAGACCGTATGGCTCTTCCCAAGGGCGCCTGAACTCTGGGGCATTGGGAACTTCAGCCCAAAGCCCAGCTCCTCAACCCTTGTAAGTAAACCCAATATGTGAGTGTGTGCTAGCTCCTTTTACATCCAAGACCTTGCTCCACACTCATGGCTGCTGTGTAGCATGTTGTGTTGTGATGGGCAACACCTGCCCTCCCACACCATTTGTCCTTGTTGACCTCTCTGGAATTAGATGAGAAGTGAACTGCAGTGGCAAATGCAAGTGCGAAACCTGGCCCTGCCACTTACAAGCTTCATGATCTTGGGCAAGCCCTCTTTTCCCTCTTTGAACTTTGTTTTCTTCTGCCAGGTAATCTACCTCACAAGTTAAGAGAATTAAAGGCAATAATGAATGTGGAAATGTCTGGCTTAAAGTGGACTGAATGAATGAGTGAACAAATGAGTAGGGACATCAGAACAAATGAGTGGGCTAGGCAGAGAGCTCGGGCCCTCTGCTTACTCTGTCTCCTCAGTACATCCCCCAGGAGGGGCCTCTCATAGTTCATGACTGTATCTGGGATATTAGTAAGGGATCTAGGAGGCAGAGTCTCCTTGTTTCAGAGGAAAATCCTTTCATGTGTGAACCCCACTATTTCTATCCCAGCAGAAGTCTCATCCATTCAACCAAAAGTGCTCTGGACATGCCTGTCTTGGGCTAAACCCCATGCTAAGCCATGAGAGCAACTAAGTAGTGGTTCCAACCTCCTAAAGTTCTTGGGCTAATGGATGAAGGCAGATATGGAATTGCTCTGCTGGGGGTGGTGGGGTGGAAGGAGGAATGGATGCCAAGGAGTTCAGAAGATGGAGTATGTGAGGTCCAATAAAGCTTGGTGCTTGAATGGGGTCTTGAAAGAAGAGGAGGAAATGCCCAGGGAGATGGGTGGCAGTCAGGGAAGGCTTCCTGGAGGAGGTGGTTACTGAGCTGAACCTTGAAGGATGAAAGCAGTTTTCAAGGCAGTGGCAGGTATTCTAGGATATGGAAATAGCATGATGTATAAATTTTGTTCAGTTTGCTCTATTCCATCAAAACTGACCAAGCGACCTGGCCTCAGGTTGGATAGGCAGCTTTCAGAATTTTCCATGGGGGACTTAGAGCCCAGAGGCCACTCCCCTTTACCCACTTTGCACATATACCCTGGCTTCCCTCACAAGAGGCTTTCACTGTTCACCCCACCTGCACTGTCCTCTGAGCCCCATGTATCTCCAAGGCTCACCCCCTGCCCATTCTGTAGCCCTCTCAAAATATCTCGTCTTCCAGAGAATATTTTCTTAGCCGGCCTGTCCCTTTCTGCAAAGGTCAGTGCTTTGTCTGCAGGGCCCAAGATTGCCCTCCACTCAAAGGTGAACGTTCCTGGAAGCTCCAGCCCGTTTTCCACTTCAAACAAAAGGCTGGAACTTGCACCTCAGTCTCCACGCACAGCCAGACTGCTGGGCTTCCAACTTGGCTGGGCATCTGTCCGTAACGAGGAATGGGCCTGGCCTAAATTTGGAGATGTTAGTTGGAAACTCAAGTGCTGCTAATTCAGGCCTTCCAACTTTGTGTGTTTCCCACTCTTCTACACGGAGCAATTCAGCTGTGTCAGGGAGGAGTCTCCCAGCCCTGCCTCCCACCATCCTTTGTCCAGATCAGATCCAAGGAGGCAGGCCAGACCCGTCGGAACCGCCTGCTCTTCAGAAATAATTTAGCAAGTTCCTACTGTGCACTGGGCTCATTTGTGTCATTCCTCAAAGCATTTCTATGACGCAGAGGTCATTGACTCCTTCTGGTAAATTGAGGAATCCAAGGTTTAGAGAGTGGGATTAACTAGCCTGAGGTCACATAAGGAAGTGTTAAGAGTTGATTCAGCTTCTGACTCTGAGTCTAGTGCTCCTTGCCTGGCATACCTAGTCCCCCAGGAGGTCCATACATCTGCTTAGGAGCTTGAAATCACAGAATCAAAGGCACAGGTGTTGGAGTTTGGCCATGCTAAAACTCTTATTTTTGGAGGGCCCCACCCCTCTTCACACTGAACATTAAATACACCACATCCCACATTAAATATAGTCTCCATTGAAGTATATAGCAGTGGAGTTGTTGACTTCCTGTCAGGTTTTGCGCCCTACCTGTGGACACTCCTTTCTGTTGCAGGTGATAGAATGCAATCTCAACTGCTCTAAAGGAAACGAGGTCTCAGTGGCCCACATAAGAGTGAGGTAATGAGCTTCAGCTGCAGCTCCGCCCAGAGCCCAGAGGAGGTGGGCAGGGCTTGGTTCCTTTCATTCTCTTCCTCTTGGCTCTGCTTCGTGTGTGCTGGCCCTGCTGTCAGGCAGGATTTCCCCTCTTGCGGTGAAATGGCTGACTCTGCTTCAGCCTTACATGTCCCCCAAGTTTAAATCAGTCTGTATTTGGCGAGGGAGTGCTTGTTCAAGGGCCTCAAGGAGCACTCTAATTGGGTGGCTCAGGCTGCATGCCCAGCCCTGCACCAATCATGGGCGATAATGTTTCATTGGCCAGGTTTGGGTCTCTTGTTCTAGTAGAGTTCAGGTAGAAGTCCTGGCTACAGGGAGGAGAGTGGGGAAGGGACGGATTCCTGAATGACAGTGGGAATCTGTTCCCTAACTAGCAGGTAGGAAAAGATGTAGGGACCGATATGACAAGTCCTCTCCACAGATCCAGGAAGTGACACTGTTGAGGCCAAAGCTTAGGTCAGGCCCTCTCTGTCATCTCAAGCCTTGGCCACCTGCCCATGCCTGCTCCACACAGCTCTGCCCCTCGTACCCACCCTCCCCATCTCACCTCCTGCTTCTCTTTCCTTCTGCAGCCTGATGGCACCAGCAAGGAGTGTGTGTTCATTGAGAAAGTCCTGGAGAACAACTACACAGCCCTGATGTCAGCCAAGTACTCTGGCTGGTACGTGGGCTTCACCAAGAAAGGGCGGCCACGGAAGGGCCCCAAGACCCGGGAGAACCAGCAGGACGTGCACTTCATGAAGCGCTACCCCAAGGGGCAGGCAGAACTACAGAGGCCCTTCAAGTACACCACAGTGACCAAGAGGTCCCGGCGGATCCGCCCCACGCATCCTGGCTAGGCCGGCCTGCCATGGCCCCTGGCGGCCCCAGCCCACACTCACACTCACAGAGAACTGCATCAGAGGAATATTTTTACATGAAAAATAAGGAAGAAGCTCTATTTTTGTATATTGTGTTTAAAAGAAGACAAAAACTGAACCAAAACTCTTGGGGGAGGGGACGTGATAAGGATTTTATTGTCTTAAAATCCCCTATGACAAAAGACTCACGCAAAGGGACCGTTGTCAACCCACAGGTGCTTGTCTCTCTCTAGGAACAGACAACTCTAAACTTGTCCTCGGAGGAGGATTTGAATGAGGAAAACGACAGTCTCAGAAACCAAAGTCCTTTTTCCCAAAGGTTCTGAAAGAAAAAAAAAAAAGCAAAAACCCATAAAAAACACAAAAAACAGAAAAACAAAGACAAAGAGAAAGTAGTAACCCCCCAACTGCCCTCTTTCCCAATCCCCTATCCCAAAGTCCAACAAAAATCGCTCTCTGGTTTGCAGTCATTTATTTATTGTCTGCTGCAAGCTGTCCCGAGACACCGCGCAGGGAAGGTGCGCCCCTGGGAATTCTCGGTGCCTCGACTTCCGACGACAGACGGCCTCGTCCAATCATGGTGACCCCGCATTGCTCTCAGTTCTGGAGGATGCTGCTATCACCCTTCCGTGACTCACACGACCTAGTACACCAATGATAAGGGAATAGTTTAAAACCAGCTATATTATATATATTATATATATATAAGCTATTTATTTCACCTCTCTGTATATTGCAGTTTCATGAACCAAGTATTACTGCCTCAACAATTAAAAACAATCAACAAATTATTTAAAAAACCCTGAGGTGAGTGGTGGCCGGGGCAGGGCTCAGGCATGGTGGCCCCATTGTGTTTCATGCTTCTTAGTCTGTGGTCTTTGCACTCAGAGCTGGGTGGAGCCTTGCTCATTCATTCATTCACTGATGCATTCAACACTTACTATGTTCTAGGCACTGAGAACACAGCCTGAAACAAAGCAGTTGGAAATTCTTGCCTTCAGAGAGATGACATTCTAAAGAGTCATTGATTCAATGATGGACTCAGTCATATGTTCACATACATTTACCTGGCATCTCCTATGTGCCAAGGGGTTATTCTAGGCACTGGGGATTTATGGAAGGATGCAAGAAAAAAATCCTGGCCTGTAGGGAACTTCACTTACAGTAATCCACTGATTTCACTGCTTCATTCATTGATTTATTGATGGAGTCATGTATTCAACATATATTTATTAAGCACTTACTAAGTACTTTAGGTACTGGGAATTCACCAAAGAACAAAACCCTGCCTCATGGAGCTTACATCCTAAGGATTCTTGCTTAAGGAGTCCACATCTGGGTTTTGCCAGGCACGGGCTGAACAAGGCAGTCCTGGTCTCCACTCTTCTCCATCTAGTGCCAGAGGAGTCAGAGAGCCCAGGTCAGGTGGGCACCTGGTGTTTCTCTCCTCACACTGTCATGGGCTGGAATGCGAGACTCTGTCAGGGTCTTTAATTTCCAGGGACCCTTTCTTCTGGGCCTTCCCAGGGTCAGATGAGAGGCTGGGTTAGTCTTGGGAAAGCAAATCAGGCAGGAGGTTGACCGGGGAGGAAGATGCCTCCTCTGGGGTCCTGCTGCTGTCACCTGCCTCCCTTGAAAACACCTCTTGCCAAGCCTGGCCAGGAGAGGTCCCCAGTGAGGCCCTATAGACAGGGGGATGGGGGCAGGAGTACCTTCTCTGCAGAGGGATCCTGGTTGGAGAGGAGGCTCAACTTCTTCTGAGCTGTGTGTCTCTCCATATCCACATCAGACTTTGAGCCACACACATCTCCTGGTTCTGTCTTTCCTCCCTGCATTTTGAGGGTATGTCTCTTCACCCCTGGGCCCTGTCACATGCATCACAGCACATTTTTGTGAAGCCCTTTCAGGTGCACAACCTTATTGTGACCTGAGGACAACCCTCAAGGAAGTACTATCATTATCCCCATTTTGTGGATGAGAAGACTGAGGATCAGAAACGTTTAACAGCTTCCCCAAGACCACAGAATAAGAAAGTGTTGGGGCTGGTATCCAAGTCCTAGAGTCTCTAGGATTGCAGTAGCTGTCACTTGGTGAGTGCCCACTGTGTTTCAGACCCCCTGCTAGATGCCTTATGTATGCTGCCAGATAGATGCACCCAAAATCCCTGGGTGGACATAGGTACTCCTAACTTCCATGTTTGATAAATGAAAAAAACTGTTTGAGAGATCATTGACATGCTCAAGGTCTCAGTGAGCAGGTGGCTGAGCCTGAGACCCTTGGTAATAGTAATTGTGATGGTAGTTGTCATTTATTGAGCACCTATTATGCATCAGTCCCTTTCACATTCTATTATTTAATTTAATCAATAACCCTGTGAGATGGGTATGTACTATCTTTTATACTGGAAATTTCAGAGAAGTCAAATGACTTGCCCAAAGAAATCCAGCTAGAAAATCGTGGACCCAGGATTCAATCATTATTCATTCATTCATCCAATAAATACATGTTGAGTCTACTCTGTGCCATATGCTGTTCCAGGGACTGGAGATACAGAAGTGAACTGAGCAGATTCCCTGAGCTCATGGAGCTTACATTCCATTAGGAGAGATCAACAATAAACCAAATAGGTACAAAATATGTTAGGTAGTGGTAAATAGTAAGGGAAAAATATGAGAGGGTGAGGGGATAAAGGGTAATGGGGCTACTATTTTAGATGGAGTGATAAGGGAAGGCCTCTGGAGTGGGACCCATGCAAGCACTAAGGGGAACAGACAGTGCTAAGGCCTGGAGTTCGGTCATGGGAATAAGGAGAGGCCAGTGGGTCTGGAGCAGAGGAAGGGGAGAGGGGGCCAGGCTGCAACCTGAGCTTTTATTTGGAGTGAGGTGGGGAACCACATGTGATGTGCCCATACTTTAAAGGGACTGGTCTGGCTACCATGTGAAGGACAGGCATATCCCTACCTGGGGCTGCGTGACGCCATGATCTGGGCTCTCCCCACACCTCACTGACTCCTGCTGCTCTGCCTGCCCTCTCACAGGCTGCCGGTCCCTCCCACACCCAACACCTGGCCTTCACTCCATCTCTGGTAGCAATAGGGCCAGGTGGTTATTTCCTTTACCTGCCCCTCTAGAGACTCATTGCTTTGGAAATTGTGGGTCCAGCTTCTATTTACACTAGACAGCTTTCTGGACATTCCCTGAACTGTGAGTAATGGGTTAATGATAAGCACATTGGACAGGCAGGAAGATTTCCCAGCCATGGATGCCATGGATGATGTTTTCTTAGGATGTTAGCTTGAGGAGGAGCTGAGTGTTTCCACAGTCCCCCTGAGGAGGAAACCCTTTCAGAGCACCTATTATGTACCACACACATGGATACTCATTGAACCAGATGCGTTCATGCTCACTGAATCCACCCAACCAGGCTCTGGGATGGCCATTTTTAGCCTCACTTTAGAGAGCAGGCTCAGAGAGGTGGAGTCACTTCCCTGAGGCCACACAGCAGAGGAGCTGGACTTTGAGCCCAGGTTTGTCCATCCCTAGAGTTGTGGCTTGACCCAAGCCTGTATGATTGCAGCTCCCAGCATCTGGGCAGGGGTTCAATCTTCCCCTCTCACCCCCCTATCCTGCCTCAGTGTCCATCATCTCCCAACCATGGCAGGAGGTAGGTGTAGACCACATTCCCACAAACCTAATGATAGCCCTTCTCCGACCCTCTGGACCCTCCTCAGTATCTCAGTGTCACAGGGGGGTGCGGGGATCTGGGACCTAAGGCACCTGAGTTTGTTTTAAGCTTGGCCACTTTTCCAATTGTGTGACCTAGGCGCATCATTTGTTTTCTGTGAGCCGTATCCCTCATTGACCCATTTGTCTCACCTGGCAGTGCCAAGGTAATGTTCAGAGAGAGCAGAGTGAATCGGTGGGGATTATTCCTGCCCGATAAGAGCAGGAAGGCACCCATGCAGGCAGTTTGTCTTCTGTCTTCTCCCTCCATCTCCCTTCAGCCTCATTCCTTCAGAGAGGAGGCAACCATGGCCCAGAGGGGGGAAGTGACTTGCTCCAGGGGTGCCCAGCGGGTTAATAACAGAGCCCATTAGATGACCAATGACTAGTGACAATAGCGATAATAAACAGAGCGGGGTATGGCAAAAGGAGGCAAGTCAAGGCTCTTCAGGGAGTTCAGGGGCCGCCACGTTCCTCTGAGCATCCTTCCCAAATTTGCTTCTTTGACCCCAAGAAGCACTGAGCAGGCAGGAGAGGGCTGAGTTCTCTTGGTCCCAGACCCTCACCCTCTGCACCTGACTTCTCTGGTGGTGCCATGTGACCTAGTGCCAGAAGTCAGTCAAGACGGACCTTTTACCATAGCATTTCCAACGGCCAACAGGCAAGAACAGAGGGACCAGCCCCTGAATCAGGGAGAGAAGTGGATTTGGGAACAAGGCTACTCTTTGCCAACCTGCCCCACCCTTGGGCAGTTTGGGGATTATCAGTGTTATCAATGTTTCAATGTTAACAGGGCTTATAAACGTTCCTCTATGGCCATTGACCCCACCCCTGACCACTGGGTAGGGGAAGTAAGTAACATTTACCTGGCACCTACTCTGGACCCACCCTTTGATCACAGTAGTGTGCATACACCCTGCTCAGGATGGTTCCTGGTGCAGAGTGAATTCTTGGTACCTATGATCTCATTGACTGGCACAAGAACCTGGCAAGATAGGTGTCAGGAGGACCATTTTGTAGATGGGGAAACTGAGGCCCATAGAACAATGTGATTGGCCCCAGGTCCCATGGGGAAAGTGACAGAGCCAAAATTTGAAAGCAGGCCTCCCTGTTCCCACTTTCTATTTCCCTACTGTTCTTCTCCATCCCTTTGTTGGGGGTGGAGAGGGGAGCGAAGTCCTGAAACTTGGATGGATGGGTGGGTAGGGTGGACATGACAACCAGGAAAAGTGGTGTTTAGAGGTGTTCTGGCCAACCAGGTGAGGGGTGGGGCAAAGCCCCAGGCTGCCTGCAGGAAGTGGTGGGGGGCAAGATGCCCTCCTGGCTGCCTGCCCAGCTGGAGCCTAACAAGGCCAGGCTGGGATGCCCTGGGTTTGAAAGCCCCATAAACGGGCAGAGCCCTCCCTCCCCAACCACAAGAGTGGGGCTTCCAAAGAAACAATAGTGAATTAGGTGCTAAAGATGTGAAGGCTGCTCCCAACCATGCAATTAAGTAGCGGGTCTGCTACAAACATTAGGCGGGGAGTTGGGGACCAGATGTCGGAGAGGCTCACCCTTGGCTGTCCTGTCCCAGAACTGCCCGGCCTCCTGGCTGAGGTTTCCAGCTCTGGCAAGAGGGAAGGAGGCAGGTAGCCCTGGTGTGTGTGGCTCCCTGCAGACCAGGCCAGTAATTAATCAGGCATCTCCCCTCCCTGGGGTAGCTTCAGGGACCTAATTAGCACTTGCTAGAATTTCTGCCCAGCTCCTCTGCTTGTGGAGGGAGCAGCCCTTCCAGTGTTCTGGCCATGCAGGCTGACCATGCAGCTGCTGGGCCCTGTGTCGCCCTCTGGGGTGGGTCAGAGGAGCTGCCTAATTTTTAAAGGAGCTGCCTAATTTTTAAAGACTGGCACAGACTGAAGTCTCATTTGCCTGCCCCACAAGGGCTAATTGTCATCTATTGAGCACCAGCTATGTGTGGGCATTTTACCCAGTTCTCTTATTTAATTCTAACCACAGTCCTCTGATACAGTTATTTTTATCTTCTTCCAACCAATGAGGACACTGAGGCTCAGAGAATGGAGGTCACCTACTCAAGGTCATCTGTCTGATCCCTCAAATACTGCACATGACTATTTCACCACAAAGGCAGCCCCCAAAGGATTGGTATTATCTCCATTTTACACAAGGACAGAGGATCAGAGAAGCAAAGGGAGATGCTCGAAGTCACAGGTGTTAAGTAGTGAAGCCAGGATTTAACACTAGGTACTTTAGACTCTAGAGTCTTACCTCTCCAATTCTCCTGACCTTCTACTTCTGTCCCTGTCTTATTCTGGAGTCTTTTGGTTACATGTGAAGGAAACTCATGATAATGACTTAAGCCAATAAGGAAATTTATTGGCTTGTGTAACAGAAACATGCATAAGCATCTGGCTTCAGGGAAAGCTGGATCCAGGTGCTTCATCTTCTCTTCCTGCTTTCGGCTGCGATGGCTTCTTCTCAGGGGGGCTTTCCCTGTAGCTGCAGGCTTATGTCCAATGACTTAATAACTTGAGAAGAAAGAGAATGTATTATTTCCTAGAGGCTCCAGTAAAATTCCCAGGGCTGACTCTGATTGGACCCATCCTCTGTCTTGCTTATCCTTGAACCAGTCACTGTAATCAGAGAGACAGAATAGTTTAAGTGGCCAGGCTTAGGTCAGGGGTCAGATCCTGGAGCTGGAGTGTGGGAGGCATAGGGCGGTCTACCTGGCTATAAGTTCTGCCTGGAGGGGAGGGGTGGTTCCCCAAAGCAGTATGGAAGTGTTTTTACCAGAAGAAAAGGGCAAAGGCAAGAAAAGTCTGTTCCAGGGTTTCTCCACTTGGGTGCGCCTCAGAGTCCACAGGAGGGATTGTTAACACACGGTGCCAGGCCTCACCCCTACAGGTTCTACTTCAGTAGGTTTGGGGTGGCCCCCAAAATTTGAAAGTTCCCAGGGGATGCTGATAAAGTGGGGTCTGGGAGCCCTATTTTAAGAACCACTGGTCTATACCTTTCTTTTATCCTTACTTTCTCCACCCTCACTGTGTCCTGTTGCCCTAAGGGGACGTGTTCCAATCCAAGGCCTATAGACTGAGGACACATATACCTCAGGCCATATAAGGGCTTTCCAAGGGGTTCTTTGGCACAGTAATCTTACAGGGATTAATTTATAAATGCTCAACTTTCCTAAGCGCTCTTTCCTAAACTGGTCTGCTGGAGAATGCCCCTGTGGCCAGCCACTCTCCTTCCCACCGCCCTGGCCGCAGAGTCCCTCCCCTTTTCAATAGCAAGGCAAAGCTCTCACCCTCCCTGCCTCTCACTGTGGGCATTGCCTGGGGTGTAGAGAATTCCAGATCGTGGAATGAAGGGACGCTATGGTGCCATGAATCTGTAAGCTCTCATGCTTTCTCCTGTCTTAATATTGATCTGCTCTGTAAGGGCAAACGATGCATCCATTTGGATCCATGTTGGGTTATTTTCACTCCAGGTATGTTGTACAGTAGGATGGTGGGAGTACTGGCAGTTTTTCTTTAATTACTTTGCCTTTTTTCTTCCCCAAATATTGTTCTGGAATGCATTCACTACTAAGGGAGAGTCTTGTGAATGCAAAAGAAATATCAATAGTGGGAGTAACTTCTTTTATTCAGAGGACACAAACTCATAGATAAGTTCTATGCCTTATCACCTATCTGTTTATCTATCTATCTATCTATCTATCTATCTATCTATCTATCTATCTATCTA